CCCGAGGGCCGAAGCCGGTCAGGGCAACCGCAGGTGGGGGGGAATATAGGCTCAGGGTGGATACATCGACCCCCCATCGTCCATCCATCGCCGATGGCGGCCTGATCCTATAGCCCACCCCGCGCAGGAACGTCTGGTTTCGCAATCGGGGGCCCCTCGCCAATCTATCGGCGATGTACCGCTGATTCAAGGCCGATGTTTCCCCGTTGAGCCGGTCCCCCCCCAACGTTCCCCCTGAAGGACGGGGACGGCCGACATCGAACGCTCTGCGCCATCGGGAGGCCTCGATCGCCCAATGCTGGCCGAAGCACACGCCGTCACGGCACGAGCCCGCTCTGTACGTGCGCCGGTCCCGGCCCCGGGGCTCCAGATCAAGCAGCGTTAGGACTACAGGAATGCCGGGACGGTCGGTCCCCAGAGCTCCCAGATGGGGCCGGAGCAGCTGCAGGGCCGGAGGATTCCGCTGGAGCGCCGACGCATCGGCGATGCGGCGCGATCTGGGGCCCCAGCCCGCTCTTCCGGCGATGCGGCGCGGGCCTGCGAGAGACCTCGGTCTGTGCTCTGGCCCCCCAGGTGTCGAGCAGTGGCAGAGCGTCCGGGCTCGCCTATAAGCCCCACCAAGGATGCAGTCGGGAGCGTCTTGGTTTAACACATCGGGCTGACGTTCTGGGAACATTGTTGTTGTTGTTGTTGTTGTTGTTGTTGTTGTTGTTGTTGTTGTTGTTGTTGTTGTTGTTGTTGTTGTTGTTGTTGTTGTTGTTGTTGAATATTATTACTTCTAAAGAAATATTATTGTTGAGACCCCTGGTGCGCGACCCCCCTCCAAAACCTAGGCCGCAGCCTCATTTCCTTCATTTTCTAGCGAAAGCTTCAGAAAAGTGGATTGTCACCGGATCCGGTTGTTTTGTTGTAATCCGTTTTCCCTTGCAAAAAACACTATAAAATGAAAATTCTTGTTCTTACTTGATCAAATTGCAAGAATCCCTTGCAAAAAATAAGGTAAAGTGGACATTCGTGCGCGCAAGACGAAATCCTTCCAAAACCTTAGGTTTCGTAGCGATTTTAACATAAAAACATCAAAAACCCAATGGTTTTTTAAGAAAAAATTGTCAAAATGTCCTTCCGCGCGCGCTGTCCGAATCCCACAAAACCAATGGTTTTTCAACATTTATGTTACATGAGCTCGCGCGAGCTACTTTTTCTTGTTCTAACATAATCAAATTTCAATAATCCCTTGCAAAAAATAAGGTAAAGTGGACATTCGCGCGCGCAAGACGAAATCCTTCCAGAACCTTAGGTTTCGTAACGATTTCAACATAAAAACATCAAAAACCCAATGGTTTTTCAAAAAAAAATGTCCAAATTTCATCCCGCGCGCGCTGTCCGACTCCCACAAAACCAATGGTTTTTCAACATTTATGTTACATGAGCTCGCGCGAGCTACTTTTTCTTGTTCTAACATAATCAAATTTCAATACTCCCTTGCAAAAAAAAAGTAAAGTGGACATTCGCGCGCGCAAGACCAACAAAAAACACGACGATCTCAGGAACTTGCCCCAAAAATGTGACCAACTCCGCTCTCTCTGTCTCTCTCTCTGTCTGCTCTCTGTCTCTCTCTCTGTCTGTCTGTGTCATGTATTGTATGTCACAATTGCAGGATGCTGGGCACACGCGCGCCCCGAATAAGTGACCAAGTTCTGTGGGTGTGTACCCCACGCCAGTGTAGTAGCCACGGTCGTCCGCACGCCACGAAGTGAAGTGTCCCAACGTCATAGGGCGGGAAGCTGGGTTTGGGTGGTCGCGAAGAGTCGTTTGGATATTTGGTAGAGCTTGAACTGCCCCCCCACGAAGTGGGGGTATTGTCTCGCGTCGCATGAAAACCCTGGCACTGGTGAGAACACTGAGCGTTCGGGTAAAATGATTGTTGTTGTTGTTGTTGTTGTTGTTGTTGTTGTTGTTGTTGTTCTCAGAACATGTTCGGGTTCTACGAGCATTTCGCAGTAGGACCATAGGAATGCTGGGATTGTTTTGGTAAGCGGTGTGTCGGTGCCAGCGCGGCGGCGGCCCCCGCGCGGGCGTGCAAGGCCGGACGCCGCCGCTGGCCCAGAGCCTGCCGGTCTTGAAGAATCAGCGCCATCGGGAGGCCGAATTCGGAACGACCCGCGTGGTGTTTCGTCGGGCCTGTCCCTCTACAGTGGGACTATTCCAAAATAGTAGAACAATAGTCAGGGTACGATGTTTTGCGCATTTTCTGATTTTTTTGCGTATTTTGGGTATGTTTTATTTTTCATCCAAAATCCCCCTGTAGGGGGACACGCCCGACTTAAGCGTGGTGGTCAGAAACCACTGCCGACCTAACCGCGGCGTGAACTTGCCATAGGATCAGGCAGGCTGTCGACTGAGCTCTTGCACTTTTCCGAGCGAGCATACGAGAAGGAGTGGGAAGGAAGGGAGACGTGGGTGAGGGGCCGATTTCCCACCACCACTACCATAGGCAGGAGAGGGAGGAGGAGTAGGAGGATAAGGAGGACCTCCCCATCCTCCCTCCTCTCCCGTCCTGCATATGGTGTAGTGGTGGACAATTGGCCCATCAGGCGGGGGGCAACGATTCGAGATCCCACGTGACTGGGGCAGCTGTGTTCCTTCTCCCCCTGGGGGCTGCATCGGCTTCGTCGCCCTCTTCGCGGCGTCGGGAGCGCAGCTTCCTCAGCCGTGCCTGGCTGATGCGGATGGCGATGGCCAGGACCCCAGACCCCGGGACACTGCACACCAGGACTCTGCCAGATCGGGCGGGACCAGAAGCAGAGCGGGGAACGTGTCGACCCGCAGGCGCGGCCTTCCCGGTTGAGCCCGCGCTCTGGTCTCTGAGAGTCCTCGTTTGTGAGGCCCTGGCAGGGCCGCACACGATTCGATTCAGTGCGATTCGATTCGCCAGCTGGGCCCGCGGAGGAGGAGGAGGAGGAGGAGGAGGAGGAGGAGGAGGAGGAGGAGGAGGAGGAGAGGAGGAGGAGGAGGGGGGAGGAGGGAGGAGGAAGGAGGAGAAGAAGGATAAAGGAGGAGGAGGAGGAGGAGGAGGAGGAGGAGGAGGAGGAGGAGGAGGAGGAGGAGGAGGAGGAGGAGGAGTGAGGAGGAGGAGGAGGGGGAGTGAGGAGGAGGGAGGAGGAGGAGGAGGGAGGTTACGACTCGATTCGTTCCTTATCACCCGCATCGGCCGGGGCCATCCCGGGCCTGAAGGAGCGATCCGCGCTCGCTCGGCTTCGGGCTCGAGCCACGGGCGGCCCGATCGCCTCCAGAGCCCGGCCGACCTCGTGGCTCGATCCGTCTCGGGGCTGCCTGGAGCGAGGGGGGCCAGGAGGGCGAGGGACGCGCAGGAGCAGGCGCACGAGGGAGGCATGAGCCTCATGCCTCATACAAGCCATTTTAACCAGGAGGCCCGCCATCCCCAAACCACAAAGACTGAACATAGAATCGGGCTCTATCTCACGTGCCCAGGCATGAGGGGGCAGGGGGGGGGAGGAGCACGGGCATCGGAGGCTGCCGCAGCGGCTGGCTGCACGCGGCCGGCGTCGCACGCCTGCGGCTCCGCTCGGGCACCTCGCGGGAGCAGGCTTGCACGGCAGCTTCGCGTCGTGGCGACCGGCGGCGACCCCGCCGCGGGCGCTCCACGTGGAACGCCGGCGGCGGCCCAGAGTCGGTCGATGCTGAAGGATCTGACGCTTCGGAAACGGTCGGTCGTTCGAGGCTGGCCGAACGCTCCCCGCAATTCGCGTGCGGTTTTCTCCCCGAATCCTCGGGTTCTGCCCGAAAAGTTTGGCCACTCAGGGAAAAAGGGGGAAACCGTGGGATACACCCCAAGGGGGGCTATTCGGACGCACCCCTATCGAGGATGGACGCCTCCCCATCGTATATCCCAGGGTTGGGCCCCAAATTGTAGGTCCATGCGAAAAACCCACGAAACCTGGGATGGGGGTCGACATACCCCTCGCTAGCAATGCCAGGCACCAGCGCCTGCGTCGGCCCGTGCGGGGCCCGGGCGCCCTTTGTGCCTTCGTGCGGGCAGGGCTGGCGTCTCGGAGGCGGCCGATCCTTCGATCGGCGGCGGGCCCTCGGGGGAAGCTCAGGAGGGGCGGGCCCTCTCAGGGAAGGCTCAGAAGGCCTCGGGCCTTCGAGAAGTTCGCCGAGCTTTTCTCGAAGGTGCAGCACACTTTACAGGAGGCCGGAGGGCTCCTGAGAAGTCCCGCCGCCTGCCTGAAGGCCTTCTCCTTCTCGCTTCCCCCCTCGCTCGCCGCCGACAGCGCCGGGGTCGGCTCAGCACGAGCCCGCCGTACGGGGCGCGGGCTCCCTTGGTGCCTTCGTGCGGGCGGGGCGTCCTTCTCGAGCACGCGCCCCCTCCTGCCGCCCCCCCGAGGGAGGAGCGAGCAGGAGCGGGAGCAGGAGCACGGGGGGGGAAGAAGGAGAATACGGGGGGGGGGAAGGGATCAGGGACACCTATAATCTAGGCTTCCCAGATTGGGCTCGAGTAGATGTGGGTCGGGGGATCGCGACGCATCGCCGATGCATCAGCGATGCGGCTCGATGTGGATCACAATTTTCTCCGCGCTGGCGTTGCCGACGCATCGCTGACGTCGCCGATGCATCCCCGATGCGTCGGCGATGTATCCTTGCTGCGGTGCGATCCTCCGTCCCCATCTACTCCGACCCCTGAGGAGGATAGGCATAGGGGGGGATGCATCGACATCAAATCGCCCACTGCCTGCTGATAGGGGGCCGATAGTCCCAACCTGCCCATGACCGTGCGGATTCACAATCGAGGGACTATCGCCGACCCATCGGCGATGTACAGCCGAGTCCAAGTTGAGTGAAGGAGGAGAGGAGGAGAGGGATCAGCCTGAGGGTGGGTGTGGGTGGGCGGGCAACATCAACAAACAGCAAACAGAGAGATAGGCGGGCAGCAGCAGCGGGGCCAGCAGGAGGAGGACGAGCAGAGGTATCGGCCAGGAGGAATGTTTGGCTCGTTGGTAGGTCAGCTCGTGATTTGACTGCGGGCCAGGACCGATCCACCTCCGCCCCACCTCCGTTCCTCTTTAGTGAAGTTTTCAGTGTGCGCGCCTCTTTTTCTACGCTGTGCCTCAATCTGGGGTCGGAGTGGGGGAGCCAACATCTGGCCACGGGAGACCCACGATCCGGCCGCGGCCGACGCTGCCGCCGCCCTCTCAGGCAACCACGGGCGTATTTTTTTTGTCTGCTCCCCGTCGGCCGCTAAGCCCGGCAGATGCGGTCAGGAACTGTGGCTTGGAGAGCCACTCCGCGGGCTCTGGCCCACCACGCTTCCGGGCGACACGCTGCCTGCGTCCACCGCCCCGAGCGTCAACGTCCCGAGCCGTTCCCGGCCGCCCGCTCCGCAGAGCGGAGCGACAGGCCATCCGCCTGCAGTCGAGGAACAAACCATGATCACCGAGCGCGTTCCAGTACTCGCAAAGTGCCTACTCGCAAACGCCCGAAAAACACTTGTCTGCTTCAATGTAATGTATCGTAGATCCCCCGAGGCGGATCCAGGCCATCGGCGAGTAGCTACTTTGCGAGTAGTGGACCGCGCTCGTCGACATGAAACAAACGTAGTCGTTCGGAGGTCCGCGCGGACTCCCTGGATCGGCGCTGCACCGACCCCCCTCCCTGGCGCGCGGAGACCGCCAGGGGCGGCGCCGCCAGGGGGATCCAGTGCCGATCCGAGAAATGCGCACGGACCTCCGAAAGTTCCCCAACCAGTGCTTGCACGCAGGGTTTCCTTTGGAGTCCAAGGGAGCTGGGCCTGTCTGGCGGTCCAATGGCTATGTAGCCGCCGTCGCCGCCCCGTCGCCGCCTCGTCGCCGCCTCGTCGCCGCCGTCGACGCCCCGTCGCAGCCCCGTCGCCGCCCGTCGTCTGGGCCTGCCTGGCGCTCTGGCCGCCGTCGCCGCCGCCGTCGCCGCCCCGTCGCCGCCTCGTCGCCGCCGTCGACGCCCCGTCGCAGCCCCGTCGCCGCCCGTCGTCTGGGCCTGGGTGGCGGTCTGGCTTCTACGTTGTCGCCGTCGCCGCCCTGTCGATGCCCCGTCGCCTTCCACTACGTGAATTGCTTTGCATAGATTGCACAACATCTATTGCACCACACAGATTGCATCACATAAGTTCCACCACGCATAAGTTCCACCACGCATATTGCACAGCATAGGTTGCACCACATATTCATTTACCCAGGGTCCAGGGCAGGGCGCCTCAAGGACAACCCTGGATCTCCATGCTGGTGGCAGGGCACCTGGGCCCTTCCACGAAGCGCCAGAAGGTTCCCGAATGGCCCAAGAGGGATCCGAATCGATGAAGAGCCGCTCCAAGACGCCCAAGAAGGCCCCTAGGACGTGCCAAAAGACCGCCCAAGACCCACCGAGAGGCCTCCACGAGCACTCCTAAGGGCGCCCCAACACGTCAACTTGCCCCATTCTTTTCGGATGATCCAGGCGCGACCCCCATTAGGGGAAAGCTTCCTGTTGCATGGGCGCGGTTCTTGGTATTGCTTGGCATTGCTTGGTATTCCTTGGCATTGCTTGGCAATCCTTGGCATTGCTTGACCCGAGGAACCCGAACCCGAGGAACCCGAGGAACCCGTGCAATCTGGGGAACCTGTGGAAGCCGAGGAACCTGAGGGACCCGAGGAACCCGAGGCACCCGAGAAACTCGAGGAACGGGAACCCTGGGGAACCCGGGGAACCTGGGGAGCCCGGGGAACCCGCGGCACCCGAGGATCCTGAGGCACCCGAGGAACCCGAGAAACCCGATGAACCCGAGGAACCCGAGGAACGGGGACCCCGGGAATTTTGGGGATCCCCAGGCACCCGAGGCACCCGAGGAACCCGAGGAATCTGAGGAACCCGAGGCAGCCGAGGCACCCGAGGCACCTGAGGAACCAGAGGAACCGGAGCAATTAGAGGAACCCGAGGAACCCGAGGACCCTGCGGGCATTGGGCAAAGTGAGCCCCCGAGTCACCAACCTGTAAACAAGTAAAAACTCCTCAGGCAAGCATAATTGGGGAATGACGTACATTTTTCCCACAGGCGGCTTTTCTGCCTGCACGGCGTTGTAGACGACCCACTGGGCCCCCAAGACCGCCCCAAGACAGCCCAGGAGGCCGCAAAGAGCGCCCTAAGACAGTCCAGGAGCTCCAAGACGGCCCAAGAGTCGCCCAAGAGAGCCCAAGAGTCGCCCAAAGACGGCCCCCAAAGTGGCCCAAGAGTGGGAGCTCGAACAAACATGTCGAGCTTTCCGCCCCGAGATGCTCCGAGGAGCCTCCCAAAGGCCCCAAGAGGCCCCAAGAGCCTCCCAAGACGCCCCAAGAGGTTTTCAAACAGCGCCCAAGAGGCTTCAAAATTGCTTCCGATGCGCCCCCGAGAACCCTAACACGACATACCGACGAACACCCAAAGTACTTATGACCCACAACCCAGGCGCGCTGGCGACTGGGCCGAGGAATTTCGGAAAGACACACGAGGAGAAGGTGAGGGAGTGGAGGATGTGGCGAAATGAAGCAGTTCAGGGTCCGGTTCTGGTGCGAGCCTCCGTCGAGGGCCCTGAGATGTTTGACCATGAGGAGCGTTAGAAGGCCAACAATGCAATTCAGATCTCCCAAGAGGGCCTTCAGACGTTCTAGGCTGGCGCTCAGAAGGCCCAACAAGGCCCCAAGATTCCCAAGGGGAGTTCCGAAAGGAACACCACATTCACTGTATGTCTCCGTTGCCAAACATTTCAGGCTACAGCCAGACATTGCTAGAATATATGCGAACGAAGCGCCCGCGTGGTTCTAGTATATATATATATATACACATGCATACACATACACATACATCTACATCTATATATACTACTAATAATAGTTGCATGTGCTGCGCAACATCTATTGCTCCGCATGTGTTGCACATCGTACGTTTCACCACGTATATTGCATCACGTAGATGGCACCAAGTCAAATGAGCCACGTCTATTGCATACTACATGTTGCACAATCTATGTTGCACTACATCGATTGCCCCACAACTATTGAACAGCATAGATCGCATCACATACATCACATCTGTCGTTACATAGGTTGCACCACATAGGTATCACAACGCATGATGCACCACACCAATTGCACAACATACATTGCACTACACATATTGCGTCACATATTGCCCCATATCGATTGCGCAACATATTTTGCATCACGTATATTGCATCGTTTAGATTGTAGCACATACATGGCACAACATATTTTTGCGCCACGTATATTGCAAACATCGGTTGCACCACATATCGTGCACTACATCGATTGCTCCACGTATATTGCACGGCATCGATTGCTAGAAACGCACGGTTTGGAGACCACGCTGGCTAACATATAGATGCTCATGCCATTATTTGTTTCTTGATGCAAGGCATACAATAGGGACGCGCATCAAGAATCCGAACGCTTTTCTTCAGGGTGCCCTGGGTTTCCTCGCTCCGCGCGCAATGTGGTGACTTCCGCGGCCCTTGAAGGAGCTGCTGCGTTCAGGGTGCTTTGGGCTCCCTCCACGGGCATCCCGCGCTTGCGGGTTTTCAGGACCGGGTTTCTTGCGAGGGTTTCTTACGGCCGCATCCGCACCGTAGCGTGTCGCCAGGGCCGCCGCCGCGACACGTTGAGCAACAGTTTCGACTACACGTGAGAGTGACCCTTCGCTGGAGTGACCTTCGGCGCGGGTCCACTGGGGCCCCTCTAACCCAGGGTGACTCTTGCCTGCAGCGAGGGTCACTCTTACCCAGGGCCACTCTTACCCAGGGTCACTCTTACAGTCAACCCACAGTGAGGATGGGCACCCTTCCCAAGGGTACCATTGCATCCTTGCCTCCTCGGTCCATCCTTGGCCACTTTCGTTGGCGGGTCCAAGGCCCTTGCATCCTTCTCGCGCATCCTTATCGTACTGACCGACTGGAAGGGTCACCCTTGCCCACGGTCGCTCTTGCCCGGGGTCGCTCTTGCCTGTAGCCGAAAGCTCCTGACCGTAACACCACCCCCGCCCCATGGCCGATGCCGGGCGGGGCTGCCGGCTGAGCGACGGGCGCCTCGTGCAGCC